AGTTTTCTCTACTACCGGTCAAGACCTGCTTTTTGCTGAAAAAAGTTTAGGGTTTCGGATAGTCAAGTTTTTGAACTTTGACCGTGTTTTAGAAACTTTTTGAGTTTTCTTGAAAAGTACACTATCAAAATCTTTTAAAAAAATTCAATCAAAAGAAGCATTTACGCATTTTTTCCTGCAAAAGCGGTTATTCTTTTGCAGGAGAAAGGTTATGTCTTGTTAAATTTTCAAAATCTTGAAAAGTTTTCACTCTGCTCACTTATTTTAGTAGAGAAACAACTAAGATTTTGGGCAAAATCCAATTTTTGAAACTACGCATGTCCAGCATCAGTATAACAAATTCAAAAAATGTCGAAGGCGTTGGGCCCTACACACGCGACACATACGAAAATTTTGTTTCACCTATTTTTTTTTAAACATTTTTTTTTGTTTTTTTGATGTCTTTTGATTTCATGATTGTGTTGTATCGCTTCACCTCTGATTGTGCTCCGCTTCACCTTTGTGTGGAAAAAAGTGTCACACTCAGTTTGTTGAAATTTTTTTCTTTTCCCATGCGTTCAGTGATTTTTTCAAACTGTTTCTTGGCTATCTTTTATACTATTATACACGGGAATCTTGCTTCAAATTACGAAATAATTTTTTTCAATGCAAAGCGAAGTTTTTTTTGCACACTTTTTGCTGCTCAAGTTTTGCCTAAGTCGAAGTGGGGAAGCTTTTTCGTAACTTTCTTCTCAAAGATGTTTATTCTGATTATATAAAAGGCAGATGCTTACAAGTAGATCTAATGAGTCGAATGTATTAAATTAAATTAGGGGTTCTTCAGATATTTTCTCTGAAACCATCGTTTCACAAAGAGTTCAAATGTAAAAGGGATAAAAAATGTTTGAACTTTACCCTCAATGCAGAGCAAAATGTTTTCTGTTTTAACTAAAGTAGTTTTTACTAGACTTCCTATTTATTAAACTTGCGAGCAGCGTAGTGCATTAGAACGCAGCTTTTTTTCTAATCTAACTCGCAAATAAAAGTGATCATTAAAAATTTTCAGTTATTTGTTGGCTTTTTTACTATAATCACGATCTGTAGCATTGGAAATTGCATAGCATCTGTTCTTTCTTTTTTTTGTGGCTAGTTTGTGATTTATTAAGCGTCCGTGGCTGAGTGGTTAATGGGAAGACTCATAACCTCTAGGTCGCAGATCGAATCCCAGACGCGGCCGAATTTTTGCTATTTCTACTTTTTTGTATTGCACTTTAGAGACCTGCTTTTTCTCATGTATCCGCTAGTGTTTGCGAAGCTTCGCTTCTCTGTCAAAACGTACTTTTAGAAAACTGAAGATTTTCAGTTACACATGACAACACTTCGCATGTAAAAGAACGCTGTTTTTCATGAGTTTTTTTCTGTGAAATTGAAAGTTTAGTTCTTTGGGAAATTCAGGGGAAAAGTCGGCCCATGTCTTTTTTTTTGCTGATTTGCAGCGGGGCGGACTTTCGTGTCATTCAAGAAGTTCTCACTATAAATTAAAAGTCAAAGTGAGTGTTCCTGAAATTTGCTACGTTATCAGACCTGATTTTGTGTTTTTTTTTCACATTTAGAAGGTTTGTTTTATCTAAATGGATTCGGTTTGGATTATGAGCTGACTCACCTAATAGTAATATTTAAAAACTTGGCTTATCAGATCTTTTTTTCATATTTTATTTTGCATGGCATTTATTTTGTTTTGGTCTCAATGACGTCTGCCCTAAATTGTCAGCTTAGTCACCGTTATATATATTTTTAAGAGTCGATAAACGTAGTGAAGACTCTTTTTTAGGTCTCGATGATTTCTTTTCAGTAAAAGGTCTTAAAAATTTATTTATGCTTATTTTGGTTTTCCGCGGTTTGACTCTTGAGATTATTTTTAAGTTCAGTTCATTTCCGTATTAAAAGAGAAGGGAAACTCACTATCGAACAGCAAAATTTTTAAGGCCACGAAAGCCGTGATCTGCTTAGTTTCGAAAGTTGATTTGAATTTTCAGATTTCCCAGCTGAATTAAAAATTTACATATTAATCAAGCTTTCTCAAATTGGGCTTATTTGATCAAAAAAGGTGATAAATTAATCTCTCAATTGAAGAGCTTTACGGGCATATATTTTTTCTTTAAATTTCGAAAGTTGAAGTTTTTAAAGTCTGTTTTTTTCTCGGTTTTCTTGCGTTCATTATTATTTTACAACTGTCAGTTAGTTCTGTTCTTTCCGATTGATTGTAATGTTATTTTTCACCGGTATCCTGAATAGTTGATGCTCGGTTTCACCTCTGTGTTTGAAACATTATAGATTGTTTTTTACTAACCTAGTTAACGGTTTTTTATATAATCTGCGTATAAACATTAATTGAATTGAATAGCACGGTTAAACTTCTGATATGAAAAAAGGTAGCAGTCTTAATAATAGGCCCTGTTGCACACCGTTTTCCATTAAAAATCGCGACGAATCGGGAGACTTTTTTGACTTTATCTTACTGATCCATGACTGATAAAATAAAATACTTCCATAATGCATCTTGTTGTTTGTGTGGATATTATCCTCCTCTAAAATATTTTTTTTTGCGATTTGTGTTTTCTTTATTTGACTGGATATGGTGATTTTTGAAGCTCAATGTTTTCGTGTTTTATGATGCTGATGATTAGTGATAGCTCGAAATTGCTCTTTACTAATTCAAAATTGATCAACGTTTCTGAAAACAAAATACTTTCTGCAATGAATACGCAGCGGAATACTTTCTGCAGTGTGAATACGCGTGTAAAAACTTAAATGATTCAATTCTAAGATTCTTCTGCGGAATGAATAAAATACCTGTTGATCCAGTTTCTCGTTTTTCCATTTTTTCTTAGACATTTTAAAATTGAAAACTTCTCAAAAGGTTAATTTTTTCAGGTGGTAAAAAAATTTTCAGCGTACGAAATTTAACGATTTTCGTGCTGTTTTTCAAAAACTTAGCAAAGTTTGAATGTCCCAACCCTATAGTGGGATGCTGTCAGGATACTCTGGGGGTTGCAAATGTTGACTCCAAATATGTCTGCTCAAAGTTTTTTAGTTACCTTGGTATGCCGGTTTTTATGATTTGAATTGAAAAATCAGAAATTTTGAAATTCCCAACCCGGAAGTGGGGTGTTCTCAAATATCTAATGTGGTGCCTTCAAGATGCTCTCAAGAGTTTTCTATCTGGCTTCCTAATGTGACTGCTCGATGTATTTTAATTTTCGAGATATGACATTTTTTTAAACTTTTTGATTTCAGGTTACCTCCAGCATTTGCAGATGCGGCTTCCATCCGAATATGATTGCTCAATTCCTTTTAGTATCCGAAATGTGACGTTTTTTTATACTTGAATAATCAAAAACTTTAACTTTGAATACTTCTCATTGTTTGAAGTTCCGGATCCCGAAGGGCGTTGATATCAAGTTACTCCCAGAGGTTGAATACGTGACTTCCAATAAGGACTGAGTCTTTTCAAAAAAGTTTTCAAAATTTGGCAGTTCAACCTATGCTGTGGTGCTATGACGGCACTTCTAGGCGTTTTAGATCTGTTCCCCTACTACGACTGCTCAATTTTTTTTTTAGTTTTTGAGAAATAACGGTTTTTATAATCTCAAAAATTTTTAACCAAGAACTTCAATTAATTGATGTTTTCTAGTTAATTACGCTGGATTTAACGATTGATGGCAGCAAATGAGATATATGCAAGCTTATGAGAATAATTACGTACTGGTTAATGTATTTTTTTGAAATTTGGAAAGAGCGCTGTATGCTGTCGGTCATGTTAGGGATATACATTTAAGGGAGTAAAATATCAGATCTGAAACCATCAGTTTTTAAGATGTGACCATTTTAGGGTAAATAACATCAAAGTTGAGTTTATTTTTAAATGAAATAGAAAGTAATTTTGGTTGCCCCCGTCTATTCTTACGGATGCACTTAGTTTCTGTTTTATATATATGCAATATATAAACATTTTTCACGTACATCAATCTATTTGAAGCACCGAAGGTGTAATTTACACGCTAGTTCTATTAATCTTTGTAGGTTTCCAAGCAGAGTAAACCTGGCTAAATAATACACAACGGTTAGATCGGCATTCAAGTCGACTGAGTTGGTTAGATCGACTGAGAAGATATCATGAAGGAAAAACTACCTCTGAAACAGCGCTATCATAGGATCAGTCAATTTCTTACAAATGTCGCGGAAAAGTTGTAATGTCGTTTTTTCGCTGCTCGTAAATTTTGTGTCAGGGTTTCTGTTATCCAGCAGAATCAAAAGTTTCTCTGCTGAATGCAAGAAACAAAACCTTTGAAAAGTTTTGAAATTGTTGAGCGATTGGACTGTAATAGACAAGAAATTATAATTTTGCAATTGTTGAAAAATGTTCTTTTCATTACAATAATCAATTCGACTAAAAAATATATTTTGGGGAATTTTAGATTTCTTAACCTGTGAAATTATTGTTTCTCCCAAAAATTGTAGTCCCACAACTCCCATAATATGACTATAATTTTCATAGACAAGTTTTGTATTTGTTTGACTAGCATTTTCGGTCTTCGGAACTCAACCCGGGTTGATAATCAAATCCAGCCATAGTCCAGAACTCTGAGGCATGGACTTTGCTGTCAAATAAAAATTGAAGACATTTGAAATTATGTAGTCGCTTCGAGCATATTTGATATCAAAAAGAATTTTTATGAAGGTCTTATATGACGTTTTTCTATCGGCCTCATTACTTCACATAAATCTTCTACCTCTTGCCAGAAAATTCAGTTGCTAGTAACTTATTTAAGACTATTGTAGTAATGACACTACGGCTTATAACTGAGTAAAAACTGTAAAACTATAATATGATGTTTAATGGTTTCAGTTCGCGTACTTGGTTAATCATAAGTATTTGGTTTAAAAAATTTAGCTCAAAACTGAAAACTAATAAATATTGTCTTTCGGTGCAAATATATGAGGTTTTGCGTTTGTTTTAGACTTACAGCAGCTATAGATTAATACTACAAGCACACAAAGAGCAAAAGCCAATTTATATCGTCAATATTGGACCGACCAGAGCTGACCATCTGGCTACACACAAAGTAGAGAGCCTAGCAAGCTTAGTTTTATCAGAGTCGACCAACGGAGTTATTGAACCAATTCTGCGCTGAACTGGCTCTGATGACGCAAAGACGAGCCAGTTAATCTTCGATTTATTAACATCTGTTGTTTTAAAATATTTCTTCTTGGATTTCTCTCTTCTTAATAATCGTTAGTAGATAAATATATGAATGCTTTCTTTTCAGCTTTATTTGAAAAATGAGAAAAAGATCTTTTTTTATTAGGTAAAGTGAAATCGTTTTCTAGCGGAGCCAGTATACTGCAATTAGTGCCCAATTTATGCTACGGATTTAGCGCTTAAGGATTTCAAAGCTTGAGTGGAAAGATTCAAATCTGATTAGTGGTGAAATATGGTTGTTATGCTATAAGCCCCTCAAAAACATAATTTTGCGAAATTTATCAGCCATTATATTGGGCTGATTGAGCCTCATAGCAGAGGTTGCTGAGCGGTTGATTTCGATCTATTAAGCAATTATCCGATGATTTCGTCGTATTAAGCAAATATCGTATAGTCGGAGTACGCTTTTCCCGTAAAATTATTTTTGTGTACACAAGCATAGCTTGTGTTATAGCGTGAACTTTTTTTTTTAACTTAAGTCGCAAATATTGTTGCGATGCAATTGTTGTGACAAAATGTGTTCATTTTGATCCGGCTATTAAGTATAGCCAAGGCTAAAGATATTAACACAGACTATTATATTACAGCTGGCACTTAAGCTTCAAGGTAACATGGATCTGTAGCGTAGAGGTAGGGAAGGAGACCAGCAACAAAATAAGAGGGTTCGAACCTGGGCAGGCTCGAATGTTTTTAATGAACTTTTTCGTATACTAATTTAATTGCGTCCGCTCTATAAATTGAGGCATGTTAGTTGGTAATATTTTTTTTCAAATTTACTGGTACTGCTAATGCGTCATAATTGCCTTGCGTCACTTAGCAATTATATAGACTTATAATTGGCGTGCGTCACTTAAGAAATTTTGTAGACACAGTTTTACTCATTCAGTTTTTCCCAATAGCGTTATCGGTCATATTTTTTTGCTTGTGTATGCGAAGTGCAACTTCGCCTCTGTGTACAAACTTTTTTCGTGCTGTTTTTGGCTGAAAGTTTTCTGCTGTGATTTGTCGATTCAATGCTCCCTAATTTTTTATTTCGATTTTGCGATTTGACTTGTGATTTCTTGTTAAGTTCAGTGCCTTTCCATTTCTATAATTGAGTTCATTTAACGAAAAAAAAATCAATTTTAAATTGTTCTAGAAATTCAAAGAGGTTCAAGGTCATCTATTTAATTCTTTGAAATTCGAAGGCTGAGATTTTTTCAAAAAACAGGCAATTTTTTCTGTTTTTTTTTTCGCGTTCATTACTCTTTTCCAACTGTCTGTTGGCTATATTCCAGTTTTCTCAAATTTGGTTAATTTTTTCTAAAAAGTGCCAATGATAATTGTTGTAGAAATTCAAAGGGCTTTAAGGCCATCTATTTTTTTATTGAAATTCGAAAGTTGAATTTTCTTAAAAAACAAGTCAATATTTTTTCTGTTTGTTTACTTTCGTAGCTCAGACTTTTATATATAGGTTGCGATGGTTTTTGTTGTATTTTTTTTTCAGGAAAAGTCTTAAATTTTGTTCAAGCTCAAATCCTTTTATCGCTGTTTGACTTTTGAGATTATTTTTAAGTTCAGTTCATTTCCTTTTATATAACGAAGGCAAACTCCACTATCGAACAGCAAAATGTAAAGGTCATGAAAAACGTGATCGATTTTCAACTTCGAAAAAATTTCATTATCAGATTTCCCAGCGAAATAAAAGTTAATCCAGTTTTTCAAACCTTTTAATCCAGTTTTTCAAATTGGGTTACTTTTATCAAAAAAGTGTCAATCATAAATTGTTTTAGAAATTCAAAGAGCTTTAAGGGTATCTATTTTTTGTTTTAAAGTTCGAGAATTTACTCATAATATTCATCATCATAATATTTTCTTGCCCTTGCGAAAAGAAAATATGTTTTAATGGGGGTACTAGACTTTTTAACCATAAAGCACATTTGTATTAATTTTAAATTCACATAACCGTGCAGGGAATCTGGCTTAGAGACAAAAGACCTGCTTGAAACGACGACGGCTTGTGGTTCGAATCCGGTCCTTACCTGTATTTTTTGCCAATTATTTGTCAGCTTATCTGTTGTCGGCTTAGTTGTCGCTTCTCAAAATCGCTTTTTTACTGCGCGCATTTTTGTTTTGCTATTTGCTTTTAGTGTTTTGTTAACGCCTTCAATTTTTAATTTCCCTTACCTTGACATCGTATTTCCTTCGTTTTTTGTTTCGCTAAAAAAAATCCCTCCGGCCAAGGGCCAAATTATTTTGGCCTGTTTTCATTGGCCTTATGACATAATTTAGGCCGTTTCAAGATAAACAGAATCGTTACAGTCGCCTCCGGACTTTTCAAGTTGGTTATATGCTTACCAATCGGATTGCTGAAATTTCATTTTTTTTCTTTTTGCTAAATTTTTTCACTTTTTGCCACAAATTTTAGTTTTCTCAGGAATCTCTCTTAATTTTCAAAAAATGGGTATCAATTGAAAGACCGCTTACTCCCCTTTGTGCCTGCATACTCCCCACAGGAGTCTTGTTTTACTTGACCCCTCTGTCTACAGCCTTTGAAAAAGTCTGTGGGGGAGTATTTGAGCCATATTTTATTTTTTCAATTTTTTTTGGTTTTCTCGAAAACTACTCTCCCAAATCTGAGATTTTGCGTTCAGTGATAGAACGATTTTGAAAAGTTCTACTGCATAAATAACAGGCTACGCTCAATTTTTTTACACATAAAGTTATGGCCCTCGGATTAGTCAAATTTTTGATATTTGAACGTTTTGTGAATCTTTGACTTTTCTCAAAAACTAAGCTCTCTAGTCTGATATTGTGGGTTCAATGGAGACAACGTGTACTGTCAAGGTCACCCATAAAAATTTTAACACTAAGTTATGGCCCTCATAAAAATCAAGTTTTTGATTTTTGACCATTTCTTTAAAAGTTTTGAATTTTCTCGAAAACCACTCTGCAAAGTGCTATGATTCTCGGAAATGTCAAATAGTTGATTTGTTGGCGGTTATTTGGACTTTTCTCACTAACTATTCTGCCAAACCTGACATCATAGGTTTAGTCGAAAGAACAGGTTTTTGAAGTCCTCAAAAAGTCTTAAAAACCTACTTTCATCATTGGCTACGCCCACGTTTTTTTATGGAAAAAGTTATGGCTTTCAAACAAGTCAAAGTTTTGGAGTTTTTCGGAAACTTACTGGATTTACGCGAAAACTACCTTGCCAATTTCTCAGGTTACGTTCAATCGAGAAACCCGGTTTCGGGAAGCTTTTCTGCTTAAGCGGCCACCACTGTTTTTTTTTGCAGAAAAAAAGTCATGGATTTTGGAAAATCTTTTGACCATTTTTGTAGAACTTTTGACTTTCAAGAATTTACACAATCAAATCTCTGATGCAAAGTTCAATTGAAAGAACCGGTTGCGATACTTGCTCCTGCAGAAGCGGCGATCCCTTATTTTTTAAAAGAAATGTTGTCTCCTTTTTTTTTGTAAAGAAACAAGTAATTTTTTGGGCTAAGTCCAATTTTTTGAAATGATTTTTTTTTCGTGCCGCATCAATAAAAAAAGCAGAATAAAAAAGAACCCATTGCGCGTTGCGGTTTTCTCATAAGTCAGACGTACATTTTTTTATGCGCATCTGGTATCAAAAGCTGCTTTGATATTAGTTTTTGTTTCGTTACAACAATTAAATTTTTTGTCTTTTTATTGTCTGTGGCCGTGTAATGCGTATTTCAGATGAAATTTTCCGATGAAAGCATTCTCGTCTTGACTGGAAAAGTCGTATTAGCAGATTTTTCCGGAACATGGTCGAACATTTTTCTCTAGTTTCCTCAGGTAGTAACGATTTTTGAATGATGTTATCTCTCTGAGATTATTTTGAAAGTTTCTCAGAGTTATATATCAGTTCCTTTTTAACGTCTGGTGTTTATAGGTGAAAGTTAGCAAATTGAAATATAGACTTTTTCAGGTACACAACTTGTCTAACTGAATCTTTGATGAAACTCGAATTTTAAATTTATTACGTTTGCGATTAACGTTTGCGATTAGAAAGCGTTAACAACTTGTTTAACAGAATCACTTGATATTTTGGTTCATCATGAACTCAAATTTCTTAGCGTCTCCAACGCACTTAGTCTGAAGGCAACGAATACGCCTGGGCGGCAAATTTCGAATTTGACCAGGATCTGTTTTTTTTTTTTCAAACGGGAAGTTCTCCGTTTCAACAAAATTGTCGGCTTATTATTTGTCTGCTTATGTTTTGTCGGCTTGTTGCCACATCTTAGAGTTTTTTTCTACATGCAGTTTTACTGTACTTGCTTTTTATGTTATAATTTATTCCTGCAATTTGTAATTCTACTAGCGTTCGTATGTTTTCCTTTAAAAAACTTTTTTTTTCGCTTGAAAAAATTTTCGGCTTGCTCGCCGAATTTTGGGTCGTTCGAGGGAATCATTATTTGTATGTTTTCCTCAGTGTTGCACAAAACGTTAAAAATCACAAAGTTCAAAGTTTTGTAAAGCTCAAAGTTCAAATTTGTAGTTCAAAATTTTTTATGACAAAAATTCTATTTTCGTTTGATTATTGTTGACGAATTTTCATTAAATGCTATAGAATATGTTTCTGGACGGACGTGTTGTCCGCAAGTAGAACATCATTTCAGAGAACATTATGAAGTTTTTAAGTTTTGGTTTTATCGAAAATATTTTCTTTTTCTTTGGACTTTGTGGCTATCTTCTCTTTTCCTGTCTGCTAGCTTGCAATGCTATTTTTATGGTATCGCAAGTGATGCGAAGCTTCGCATCACCTCCGTGTTATAATTTTAATTTCCATACCTTCCTCAGCTAACTGGTTTTGGCGGCTATGTAAATGTATGGCTGGCGAAAATCCTGAGTTCTCATTCAGCCAGGAACTGTTCCTTTTTAGAAATGGAAAAGGTTTCGTTCGAAAAAAAATCCGGCCTGTTGTTTGTGTTTTTTGTCGGCCAATGTCGCATCGCGGAATTTTCTTGTTATTTAAAGTATTTTCACTAAGTAAAATGTCAACTTGGTTTCAGCATATATTTTTTCGTCTAAGTCACCTGAAATACGTTGTTGGGAAGAAATATAAATGTTTTTTTTTGTTGGTCAAAAGGAGGGGGGTAAAAGTTGGACTTTCAAAGTTTTCTATTTCAAAAAATTTTATGGCATTAGTTTGGGTTTCAGGTCAACCGGCGTCTAGATAGTTATTGTGGGCGCAAATGCCTCTCGATAAAAGATTCTGACTCTTTATTTAAAGCTGGCAATTGTTTCTCGGTATGCTTTCCGCAAATTGAAGATCAGACAAAACGACTGAAGTTTTTTTAGATATTGTTTTTTACATACTGTTTTTTTTTACATTTTCAAATCGGCTTCTGTCTCATTTTTGTACGCTTGCTTATAATCAGGGGCGGATTTAGGGGGGGGGGCAGACGCCCACCTGCAGGGATTCGACCCCCTGTCGACTCAAAGCGTCCCCCTTTGTACTATTTTGGGATATCCGTTTTTGGTTAACGGACCCAAAAAAAATTTCTAAAGGCGCCGTTGGCGCCAATTTATACTTATGTTTAGGGTGGAGAGCGCGCCGAAAAAAACGCTATTTTTTCTTCAAAACGTTCCAAAAGTGCCTAAAAACTTTGCCTGCAACGCAGAAAATTTTATCAAACAAATGTTTTATCGCTTTGGCAGAGCTTGGAATTTTTTTGAAAATCAGCCCCCCTCTCGAGAAAATCTTGGATCCGCGCATGCTTATAAGGCTATATTTGTGCTATATATGATGCTCCGCTTGCCATATGTTTCTCGGATCTGTACTTGGTTCAAGCAACAGAAAAGTATTTCGCTTGTTTGCTTTTTAAATACGCGTTCGATTTGAAGTTTGTTTTCGTTGCATGTAAATTTACTAACCCTTTTTGTACAATTGAGTTTTTTTTGTGAAGACACGTAAATAGGGTGACGTGATTTCTTTCTCGTTTTTTTTCGGGAAAAAATCTTGTTCACACCATATTTGATTTTTTGCGGTATGCCTTCTGATTATTCAGTTAAACTCAATTTCATTTGAATAAAGGAAGGTTTTGTATGCTCTCCAATTACTTCAGTGAAAATTGCGCAAAAACATGAAAGATTTCCAGTTACGAACGTGAAAATGGCGCAAAACAAAAAAGACTTCCAGCTTTCTCAAATTGGGTTATATGGATCGAAACATTACCAATCGTAAATTGCTCTGGAGATTGACAAAGCTTTAATGTTCTTCATTTTTTTCTTTGAATTTTAGAAGTTGAAGTATTTTTGGTTTGCTTGGGTTCCTTTGAAGTGTTTTTGGCTTATTTTCTGTAAGCTATAATTTTTTTCGTGCGTTAATTTTAATTGTCTCAAATTGCGTCCAATGATTAGAGAATAAAAGAAAGAAAGAAAGAAAGAAAGAAAGAAAGAATTTATTTCTCCAAAGTTATAATAAAACATCAAAAATATACCCAGCATCAAAATAATTAACTCGGAGAGGATAGACAAAAGGCACATTGAGCGCCCACTTATAGTCTACCCGGTTTACATCAACAATTCAGGTTATTTAAACAAAATAATGATAAGAATAAAATATATATATTTTTTTTGATATTTCCATTAAAAAGGCGATATTTCGGATATATCTATTGGGGGCAGTCCTTCTATTGAAGCACTGTCACCGTTGTTAGAGGATATATGTAATTGTGGAAGAAAAAAAACAGCGATATCTCGAAAACTACAAGGATTTGGAGGCTCATATTTTCAGGGTATATTCGCAGCTCATATATGGTTGTCGTGTTTTTCTTGGAAGTTATTCTTGTTCAGGGTTTTTAAAAAAGTTTTCGGAAAATTTGATTTTTTTTCTCCGTGACTTTTCTTTTTTTAGAATAATTTTTTTCACCTGCGCCGAAATTTTCAGTTGCGTTTTTAGAAGATTAATATGCTAGAGGCAGAGGCGCTGTTTTTTTCAATCCCTCATTGTATAATTATTTGAAAAAAAACGGATTTTTTTCTCACTGTCGTATTTTGTCAAGCATTCGCTTATTTCTTCAAAATAAATGGCAAAAAGCCAAGTAATATCAGATGATAAAATGCATATGCATACTTTATTACAGGTACCAGGTGCAAATAGTGGTTTTATCTTAAAGAAGCTGACCTTGTCATTGGAATTCAGTCTTTCAGTTTGATTTATTGCATAAAATATTAAAAGGTTGAAATGTTTTTCATTTTATTCTTCGTCCTTTTTATTAAGATTAAGGTCATTTAGCTGCATGGGAAAGGTATTGCTTAGACTGTTCAGTTATTTACAGAGAACCGCTCCTGCGCCCCCTGGTTTAGACCTTCAATCGTTCGACAGATTTTTGTAGTGGGTTGAGTTTATCACAATATATATTTGTTTCACTCAGCTCCAGGGGCGGATCTGGAATTTTCTCGAGGGTAGGGGCGGATTTTCACGAAATTTTCAAAAGTTTTGTCGACCTTTTTTTTAGGTTGACCAAATTGATTTTCCGAGCTCTCCCAAAGCCTTAAAAAGACCCTGTTTTGGTGAAATTTTCTGCGCCGCAGGCAAAATTTTGAAAGAACTAGCAAAAAAACGTTGGACATTTTTGAACGACAAATTGCGTTTTTTGCCGCGCGCTCCCGCCTCAAAGTTAGTATATATTGGCGTCAAAGGCGTCTTTGGAAAAATTTTGAGGTCCGTCAGCCAAAAATGGATATCTCAAAGGTTCCCCCCACCCCTACTAAATTCGCCCCTGCTCAGCTCCGATACGATTGATCAGATGTTTTTTTTTTATTTCCAAAGTTTTTTGCAATTTTTTTTATTCCCAAATATCTTTTGCAACTGCATACATTTTAAAAACTTTTTCAAGGCTAAAAAATGGTCGACAAATATTCTGAAAATCCCCCTCCCCTGGTCCTGGTTCAGTAATGGGTAAAGTAAACAATTTTTTGATTTTTTCTTTCTTCAATATCTCAATATCTCAAGGACTTCCAAGCCATTTTTCAGTTCTCAAAGCTTTTAGTTGGTAAATGAACAACAAGGGGCAAAATAAGTGTGTATTTTCGCGAGAATAGGTTTTATGGGAGATGATACAAATTGACGTGGAATTCAGTTCAGGGTGAATTGCATTTGGCAGATGCGACCGGCGTAAATGTCATGAAGCATTATTTGCTAAAAAGAGTAGGTTGATTTAGACGGCAAACTGACTTCTTTTTTTGACGCCATTAGCTTCTTCAATTTATTCACGAGCAGCAGGAAAAGTCTACCGAATAATTAGTAGATTTTGCGTCGTTAATCAAACTTTTAGACAGGAAGTTGACTTTTTTCACGTTTCATGACAACTTTATTTTGAGCAGCAATACTGCTTCAAAACTCATTAAAAGCGCACAATTAGACTAAGTGAGGCAATATACGCAAATGTAAAGAGTAAGATAATTTTTGATTTTGTTTTTCGAGTGTGTTTGACATTTTGAATTGAAAAAGAAAGTTTTTCAGCCTTTTATTTTTTATCTGCAACTTGAAATGTCTGCCCAATTTTTGGCAGCGCAGTTTTTGAAATAATAGTACCTTTTTCAAAGTGTTCATTTGTAGTTCGTTCTGCCGTTTTCAGGTAAGCTTGCTTGTTCTATGGCGCGTTTTTACCTCTATCAGTAAAGCGTTACTGCAGTACTCTACGCCTTTCTAAGGAGGATAATACTAAAGCCTTTTTTTCCTCCTCCAACCGCAAGCTAATCTATATTTTTTCTCATTTGAACTACAGGGCGTATTTTTGGCTAGTCTCTTCACAAATCAAAAGCAGTTATTTTCGTCATATTCAATCACCAGCGGTAAATCAATATTGTTTTTGGTATACCATGCTATAGTTTAGTTCAGAATCAGTCTTATTCTTCCGTCAAAATATTAGCCAAATTCTGCATGAAATACTAGAAGGCTCTACTTACTAGATTAGGCTACTCCTGAGTTTCAGTATTAATGCTTATGTCTTCTGGTTGTGAAATAAAAGAGCGCTGAACAGTATTCTTTTGGTGTTTTCGTTCTCCAATATTATTTACCAATACAATGTCTCGTGAATTGCCAGAAAAGAGTTACAGATTGTTTAATAGATAGTACTTGTGTCTCGAATTTTTGGCTAAAATGACGGTTTTAACTGTGCCGGCGTCTGATCTATTCAACATATCCATATCACTGGACAAATCGCTATTCACTGGAATCAAGGAGGCCAAGAGCAATGAGGACGCTAAAGACCAGGATGAGGATAACGGAGTCTCCACAGAAATCTACCTTGTCAACAAGAGAATGGATCAGTGTCTGGGAACCCTCAGGCTATCTCTCACTGCCACAGACAAACCATCCACTCCTTTCCTCAAACCACAGAGCTCTGCCAGTAAAATCGAGGTCTCTCGCAAATCGGAGTCTAGTAGCTCCGAGTCTAGGCTGTCGGAGTCTAGGCATTCAGAGTCAATGTTTTCCGAGTCCAGAGTCCGAGAGTCAGAAATTACAGAGAACCAGACGCTGATATCGTCAAATGCTTCTTGCCAGAAGAAAAACTCAAAATCTGCTTCATTTCAAGGGCCTGCGGTAATTATAGACGACAGAGTAGAGGCATCCGGGTCGCGTGAACCCCCTGCGAGAAAGACGTCTTTGTTCGCGGCGCTTCCGAATTATCAACCTAACAAAATCACTGATTTTACCCGTAAACTTTCGTGTGGGGCAAATTTGACCCCGCGTGACATTTCTCCTATAACTGTTCAAACCAAAAGGGCTTGCTCTCCGGATGATTACTTAAGAGCTTCAAGTATGTCTCGAGTTGTTGCCATTCAAAGCGAATTGAAATCGCGCTCTATAGTATCGCCCACGTTAATGAAAACATACGGGGATAAATACGAAGACAGTCTGCCTCTTAGGAAAAGATCTGCTATGCGACCCAGTGGTGGTAGTTCTTTTATGCATCACCCTGAATTGACAAGTTATACTTCTCCCGTAAAAATTGAACCATGTGAAAATAAAGAAGCCACTGGAAGCTCAGAGAAACTTAAATTGTCTTCAGCGGATCAAGATAGCCATGACAATGATATGTCGTTAAAACGAAAAAGGAAGATTTCTATTTTTCAAGGCAGGCCCTCTGTTATGAACTGGCAGCCAGAGGACAGAGACAGGTCGCCCTCGTTAGAGTCGACCGAGACAGAACGAGGGGTGGCTGCGGACGCCGACGACGAAGAGTACGATGAGAACTCGGGCGGTGATGCAGAAACGCATGGACATTTCAAAACAATAGCCGGGTCTCCGGTTCCTATGCAGGGTTCCAGTTTCGATCAAGACGACGCGAAACGAAAATGCTCGTTATTCTATAACGGTGATTTCAACCCGTCCCAACTTGCGCATGTTCCGGGAAACGATGATTACTATCGCAAAATTTCAGCGCTAAGTCTGGGTGGTATATCGTTTAATCCAGAAGATGGGTTTGAAAGTCTAGATGAGTTGGAGGGTGATGGAAGGGATCCAAACACGACTCCTGTGAGGCTCAAAAAGAAATCTTCAATGAAAATGGAGCCACCAGATCCCAACGGGACTGTGCAAAACCGTCTGGAGAAATCGGGATTGTTGACAGTCAACCCAAATATGATTCGATCTAATATGAACGTTTCATCCAAGCGCGAAATAATTCAAGGAAATTCTGGGCTAAACGGCGCTATGCTCCAAAAGATGGGTTAGGCTCATTTATTATTAAGCTAGAGTATTGCATGTATCCTCCTGCTCCGGATCCATTGTAAAACGTTTTTTTGTTCTTTTGGGGTAGATAAATTAATATTTCCGAACTCTCAAAAATGGATGGAACCGTATGTGATGGAGCAGAATATTAAGACAGCAGTTTAATGTTTTTTGGGGTTTGAGAGGGATTGAAAGTTTCGGATAAAAGGTAATCATGACAGAAATAAATTTAAAAAGCTATTGTATATATAGACAGTCTGAAAGCTAGTCCGAATTAGCCGGCTGTAGTTTAGTGAAAAAGAAAATAGCCAGAATAGTTTTTGTCTACAACTTTAAATATCCTTTAGGATTCTAAATTATGGCTGAAAAGGCTTGAATATTATTCCACAATTGATCCTTTACAAGCGTTTTTTATGGTTCTTAAAATTAAACGGAAAAACACACAATCTGCTGTTGATATTTTCCACTTCGTGAAAAGGTCGTTATAAAGCGTTTAAAGTTTTTAAACAAAATTATTGAACAAAGTTATGATTATTTGAAAGCATTGTGACCTTGAGACTTGAAAATGGCAAAGACATGAAATAGGAATCTTATTTTCGAAAATGGTTTTAACAGGAAAAGGAGCGATGCAAAATGGTTGCACTTCTTTTCCTGAAATGTTCATTTCAAGGGCCAAACTTTTAGTAGTTTTCATTTTACTCATTTTTTAAAAATTTGTTTGTCATCGAAAAAGAACAATCGTGAAACATCGAATAAAAATGACTGGAAAATGGGTTGAGTTTTAATTAATGCCAAATTGTTGGTATTATCTTTTTCGATCAACAAGTTTGAACGAAATTAATTAGTCTTTAACTAGTCATTTTGGTGCTAGAGATCAATTTTTCACTCAATTCAGCATGTAAAAATATTTTTATTTCAAAAACCTAATTAACCTAAAAAATTTTTTTTTGGCCGAGTTGCTCAAGGTCACCAATTTTGATTTAATTTGACATCAACTATTGATCAAAACCGACCGCGTTGTCCAATAACTTTGTTAAAAACTATATGAACGTATATTAGGTGGGCTATAGATTGGGAGTGATTGTCTAAATTAGTCTGAGAAAGGATATATTTTTCTCCTCAGTGAGAGTAATCGGTACAACAATAGTCCCTGCTTTGGATAAATTTTCGGCACAGCAGATGTTTTTAGTAAGTGCCAAAAATGTTATTTTTGTGCGGCGAGTGAAATGTTTCCGCCAAAACATCGGTGTATATTTTGCGACCAATCGTAGTTAATCTCGTAACTAAACAGATAGTCCTAACTACTAGCCAGCAAAGAAGGCGGTTTATAGCTACGAATATTTAAGTAAGTGTTCCAAATGCATTTCTTAAACGTAAATTAATTTGATTGCTTAGTTCATCCGGTGACAGTGGCATTCTTACAGCAACAGCAGCAGCAGCATCAACAACAGCAACAGTTATTTCAGCAGGAGCAACGTCATATTAACCCTGTACCCATGCTGCCATTTGGTGCTGCACCATCGCAACCCCAAATTCCACATCCAGTTCCACCACAGCAACTTCCCCAGATGATGCCACCCTTGCTTCATGTTGCCCAGACAAACCAGGATCCACAATCAATATCTCCACAGAGCATGTACTCTTCCGATGGTGGCAACAGTTCCCCAGTTTCTACGACATCATTCGGAAACATACAAGAAACAATGGCTCATAGACGGCGCCCATCACTCACGCCAGAGCCTCAGTCATCTACTTCCAAAAGCATGTTCGGACGACCTTCGACATCGGGAGGAGCATATGGTGCTCGTAGTAATTCGGCAAGCGCATCCGGAGGTCGCATGGCCACCTGTGACCTGTGTCCGTATCAAGCCAAACACCCCTACCAGATCAAGTTGCATAAGCGCAACTGTCACAGCGACGAAAGACCTTACCAGTGCAACTACTGCTGGTATGCAAGTAAACAAAGATGCAACCTCAATCGCCATATTAGACAGGTGCACAGGCACGCAAACACTTTCTCCTCGTCCGCTTCAGTACCCAGCACAAATCCGGGAACTCCCAGCATGGGCACGCCCTTGGGGACGCCGGCGCCACGGAGTGTCACCGGGACAACAACACATATGAGCAACTTCGCCCACAGTTCCATTTCAGACGCGAGTCTGGGAGCGAAACCGTAGAGTCAATTAGTGTACCCTATGTGTAGTAGTCTGCTAAAACTTGAATTATCATTATCAATATAAAAAATACAAAACTTGATATTTTGTTATATTTTAACGTTTTATGTAGTATATGTTGAACATATTTAAATATGCGTTTCTTGTTATAATAGCTAGATTTGTGTTTGTCGTCGCTTGTTGATTGAACAATATCGTCGTTCTTTTTTCAATTCAACAGTTGCTTTATCAGTGTGATGGCGTCGTGATTCACCCGAAAATGTTCTTTGAAGTGTCATCTTAAAGTTGTGAAGTACCTATCTGTTATCTGACAAATATGCTATTTAAAAATGGTTAGTTACTTATCATGTTTCATAACTTCAAATCTAAACAAGACTTGAAAATTGGCCGAATTTTAAAATACACAAAATTTTTAAGAACAAATTAAATGTGACCAAATGGGAAATGATGATTTTTAGACAAAAACCGAAAAACTACAAAATGGCAATCATATATTTTTTATGATTACAGTTTTGGTTGACTTATGAAAACATTTGCGAGCTATTTTCGCGAATACGACTAAGACCGGTTAATCGAAGCCTTATGCCCGTGTATGAGAAGCAAAAAGCAGTTAATGCTGACAGATATAACTGAAAGAGATCTTTATCAAGTCCTTCAGTCACACCGTCAGTTCCATGGATTTCAGCAAGACACATTCTTAAATTGAATTCAGGCTAAACAATCTACGGGTAAATTTACAGCAGCCAAAACGATTTTTCATGTAAGGTAAGATTTCTTGGCCCTCTAAACGTATTTCTTTTACGTGAAATGGAAAACAAAACTTATAATCTGAACGAGATTTCTGTCAACCAAATATGAGCCTCAAAGTTTCGCTGCTTGCAGAATATTTGTTACGGATTCGATATATGTTCCTGAACTTCATTTATCTTAAAAAATTACCATGTTTTTGGCGCCGCATTTTTTCCGGTTATTTTTAGAGGTATTTTTCTCAAAAAAGCTCGATCGCTACGACCGGAGCTTAAGGTGACCTGGAAAACTATGGAAATCCATAGTTGGGAGATTTAAGCGTCGTTGGAATAATGGAAATTTTGTGAACCAGGAGGTAAAATAAAAGTGTTTTTGTCTCAGATGTGATTCAGGGCCCTAGCCAAGTCATTTTTGAGATGGGCTGTTTCCGAAAATCTGTTAAAACGTCTACAAATTTCCCAACTCATTTTTTGATCTTATTATTGTCTTTTTTTATTCATGTGTTTTTTTGGGTTTAGCAAGAGATGGTTTTAGCAAAATTGAAATCAAGAAAAGCGCCCACCAACACCGGAAAATCTAAAATCTGCAGCAGTTTCTGTGGCGTTTTTTAAAAGTAAAATGGCAAAACAATAAAAATTACTGTTAAAGTTATGACTTTAAGACAGACACACACCTGTTTACGCTGGCGAGCTTTATCAAATCGGAACACAGAATTTTTGTCGGGTTAACAGCTTGTTTAACAGAATCACTTATTTGTTATCTTGGTTCATAAACAGTTCAGTTTTCCACGGGTCTCCGGTAAACTTTGTCTGAAGGAAACGAATATATCTGGTACAGCAAAGGCCTTGGCTTAGAATCTGACCAGGACCTGTTTTTTTTCAAACGAAATATTCCATTTCAATCAAATGTCGGCTTATTATTTGTCTGCTTATTTGCCATGTCTTCGATTTCTTTTTGATGTATGCAGTTTTAATTGTTGCTTTTTGTGTTTCCGTATGCTCTTGCAATTTTTAAATCTACTTGCCTTGACTTTTCCATTATTTTGTCCCTTTTCCTTTTTTTTGTTTTTTTTTTTCTCGTCAAAAATTTTTTTCGGCCTAAATGATTTCGGCTTATTTTATATTGGTTTCTGACCTAATTTTGGGTCGTTTCGAGCAAACCATAAAATGTGCGCTTTCCTCCAGATCGCACAAAACGTTAAAAATCTCCGAATAGAATTTGTAGTTCAAAATTTTTCATGACAACAATTTTGTTTTCGTTTGATTATTGGTTTTGAATTTTCATTAAATGCCATCGAATGTGTTTCTGGACGTGTTTTCCGGTAAAGGAACATCATTCCAGGCATTATTTAAAATTTTTTTCAGTTGTTTCTTTAACAATGTTTCCGTTTTTTTGAGACTTAGTCGCTCTCCTTTCCTCTCCTGTCTGCTAGCCCTCAATGCTATTTTTATGTGGTATCGCAAGTGATGCGCAGCCAAAATCAAACTCAAAAATTGTTTAAAAAATGCCAACTCAAAAAAAAAGATTCTGCCTGCTCAAATTACTATCGAAACCAGCAGCGAAACTTTAGAACAGTTTTGCTCTTTTTTCGATTTTCGGAACGTTTCAGTTCTTCTTTAGAATGCTCCATTTTTCAGTATAAGTGTGTTCAAAAGCATTATTAAATCACAACATAGATTCAGTTGTCTTCTAAAGTTCAAACATGAGTTCAAGCTACTTCTTCAATGAAAACAACTGAAAAGTTTGAACGCTGAAAGTTTTTCAATTATCTGTTTGCGATCAGGACTCTAGGGCTCATTTAGAAGAAAATTGCTTGTAAAGAATGGGCGCGAAGTTTTGTTACTTGCTTGAAAATTGCCTTCGCTGCATCCATGAGCAAAGGCTGATCGTTTGATCGAAAGATCGAGCAACTAACAGTTCTGTGGCCGCAAAACGTATTTTGCAAACGTATTTTCTTCTTTTGATCCCGATTTTTTTATCATGGCTACCATTTCAGAGGAATCAAAATCTCGTTACGGCTTATGTACTAGCATTGTTTTTTTTGACATATGTAAGGTGAAATCAAATAGGTAAGGATATTTTTGAGTCTGACTACTGTCTTCATAATCACTGCTCTCTGATTTTACATCTTCTGTCAAAGAACAAAATTACTTTGTGGACTCTGATACACTCAGAGTTTTTGCAGTGTTTTGCGACCACAAATTGGCTTCTTCATCAGTTCTTTGATTGTGATATCATATTTGGATTCATCAGATGAGTTCATGAGGTTTCTGGCTTTGATGGTCTTGATGTCATTTTTATTCTGGAATGGGTCGTTTTTAAGGACTATAAAATCAACAGTGAAGCTTTCCAGTTCAGAGAGCAGGTCTAAAACTGACTTGGATGTGGACGCTTTTGGATACATTCCGTCATTTTTTTTATTGCAAATCACCAAGGTTTAAATATATTGAAATTGAAATGCACCAGTTATGTTTGTATCATCTGCAAAGAGAAAAATTTCTGTACAATTACAAAATTTCGGCTTGGCAAATCATTAATAACTACAAGAAAAAAAGTGGACCCAAGATCGAACCTTGGGGTCACCTCAGCCAATTTTAATCCAATTTGATGATGTATCAGCATTTTAAAACCGTTGATATCGGTCTCTCAAATAACTTTCAAAACATTCCTAACAATTTTGTCGAAAACAATATTTTTTTTGGTTTGCTCGGAAGATTTTCATGATGAAAGGTATCAAAAGTGTTTTCCAAATTAAGAAAAAAATTTTGGTCGCTTCGAAGTTGTTGATTTGTTTCAGTGATAAAAGATGGTGTGATGCTTTGAGAGCTATTTTTACCAGTTAGTTTGTGAAGTAATTTGTGCACGCGTCTGGAGTCTCCGATAAACCCTTGAACTTCGAACGATAAAATTGTCTCTTAATACTGTGGACGCAAAAATTTAACCTGATGAGAAATCTGTACTTTCTTACTAATTGACCAATTGCGGTGAGCTACCTTGCGTTTGGCCCTTAGATTTTTAATGCGGTTGGTCATTCATTCAACATCACTGACTGGCTAGCACTGTTTTCTTGGAGTAGGAGCAAATGTTTTATTTTCAGTTAATAATGTTGCCTGAAACTACCTAAAATATAGATTTTTGTATTCTGGTAAGGGTTCTAGGGTTTTATCAAATATGTGACTCAGCCGAAAAATGTATATCCATAAATATGCACCCTTTAAGGAAAGATTTATCCGGATTGTTTTGTTTTCACGCTTTCCGCAACACTGATACCTCCAGTTGAGTATAACTGGGTTGTGATCAGTGAAATTTTAGTGGTTAAGAACAGAAACTGAAAAACAGGTGTGTCCTGAATAATAAAATGACCAATGCATTATGAAGAATTTTAACAAAAACGGGTTGTTTTATCTGGGAGTATTTCAAAGTCATAGCTATTCATTTGATTTTTGTGCTTTTGGACCATCAAATTGATTTTGAAGATGTCGATTTTAAAGTCCTGTTAAATGAAAAATGGTGTATCAAATGATGCTCTGGTAAAATATCGAATGATCCAATGAAAGCCTGTTTAGCATTTCATTTTATCATTTCTGGAAATTACAACAAGTTTGAACTTCAAAACCCCTCTACAATAATTGCGAGAACTGCTTCACAGCCAGCGATATCTGATAATTTACATGAATGCTATCAAAATCATCTATTATTTGAATCATGTAGTTGTGTGTGGTTTCGCTTTGGAAATTTCGATGCGTCACCACTGGCGCTTGAATTTCGTAAAACCAAGCCAAATTTTAATAACAATCCAGCTGGGAAAATTAAAAAGGTTATAATGAACTAAATTAACAAATTAGTATCCGTCGTGCTATGACTGTGATAAGATTCAATATGATAAATCTCTGGACTCTTTCCAATAATTATTTGTGGTACCTGGTTTTGCGTGAAAGAAACGTAAAAAGAACTAAAACACACTCGAAGACCAAGTTCCTACCCACTTTCAGTGGTCGGAACATTTACAGTTTGGATGTGGAAGATAAAATACAAATGAGTCGTCTGGCAAAATTGTAGTAATTTATGCTCAATCCTTTTTCTAACAGAATGCTTTTTTATTGAATTTCAAGTTAACATTTTAAAGTTCAAAATCAGATATGAGCTTTCCGAATCAGCAATTATTTGCGTCTTTAGTTAAGTCTTTGCTTACAAAATATTAATAATTGAGCACAAGTTGGAAAAAAATGAGATCGTGAATCACTAATTTTTTTTTTGTCTTCGGTTAGTACTGGCCTAAGCGATGTATAAAATAACGTTTGAAAATGTTTGCTTGAAAGAGGATCGAAAGCTGACTGGCGTGTCACTATAAAAGACTCAACCGAAGTTTTCCAATCAATTGTTTTCGATACTTGGTAAGTTTTATTGCTGATCCAATAGATTTTTTATGTGCTGCCATCTGACGGGTATTTGTAGTGTTTCGAGTTAAAAAAAAAACTCGATTTAAATGTTCTTTTTGAATTTTGGCTGCTAGAGCAATAGTCTATCAAGATAAGTAACCGATCGTTTATCGATTAATAAGTTACCCCGTTAAAAAAAATTGTAAGTGAAGTTATTAAGTTACACAAAACACTGTGGCAACTATGCAAACTTTTCCTCATTTATTTTAGCTTTTAGTGCTGTTGTAAGATGTAGTAGATTAGGTTGATATTTTCTTTATCAATTGTTGGTGAATTTGAATAGTGATCTGAGATTACATGACAAGTTTACCTTCTATCATTCTAAAGATAATTATGTTTTTAAATGCTTAATTAAGAGTGAAAATACTTCGAAATTACTTCTTATCTTTCAAGTGAATTGAATTCATAGAAACTGTTGATGTCGATGTTCTATAACGAAATGAATGGCACATTCTATTAACATGTAATGAGAAGAATAATATATTTTGTATCATTTTTGTTTTTTCTTGAGTAGGAACAAATAAGCCTGCGGTGTCTCAAGTTGAGCTTGAACTATGGAGATCCCACAACGAGACTTTAGGGTAGAATAAGCTTACAATCAGATCTAATTTTTTTATTAACGGTTTTCTGGAATCATGTGACCAATCGACAATTTGATCCTTGATCGACGACCTAATCGTATGTTGCATTACTTGGAAGCATTCCTTAAAACTAGATTGTACGGTTGAAATAAGTGAAAAACCAGCAATTAAAAAGATCGCACAGTAGCTTTGGAAGGATAGTTAACGAGACAAGCAGGTCGGATCCAAGCCTAGCCTGGCCTGTTGAATAATGGATGATATTAAAGAAACAAAAAATAACTCTTGATCTTTTTTCTCCGAGATGTTTGGCAGTTTTCAGATGAAAATGCCAAATGAGTAGCGGTGCTTGAAGATGTGATGTAAGAATGGCGCGTTGTTATTCAAATTTACGTGCGCTCTTTTCTGCAAATTCTTTGAACCTCTTTTTCATTCTTGTTCCGATTCTGTATTTTGGCATGTCCTCTTCAGCATTAGTTAAAGAGGGCATAATATATGCTACCAATTATACGGTGTTTTCTGTTACAAGTCCGGGTAGAGTTATAATAACCTTGACTTCTTGGACTGGCGATGCGGATCTCTATGCAGTCGAGGCCCCTGGATCGGCCAGTGCCGAGAACTACGACTTGAGTTCTTACTCGTGCGGCAAAGACTTCATTTTAATTCCTCACGACTTCGCGCGACCTGTATCTGTTTCCATATATGGACATCCATTTGCAGAGGAAACTAAGTATACATTAGAGGCAGACTTCATCGAAGTTAAGGTATATAGTTCAAGGCTTAATGTCTTTTGTATTTTTGGTTTAGAAATTTCGAAGTGCTAAGCTTTCCAGTTGATAATTTAAGTTCTAATTGATGTTTCATGTTTTTTTTGGTTTAAATTGACATTTGCCATTACGAGTTAACTGTAATTTTTTGTAAGCTGATTTTGCATGTTAATTTTGAGTCCGTGCTTTGATAATTGAGTTTACGCAAAAATGTTAGTTAAGTGGATCAAGTGAAAATGAATGTGTTTTTAAAATAGTATCATTTGAAATATGCTTATTGTTTCGTTCAGGAAGTAGATGGGTTTCTGGAGACGGATACTACATCAGAAGGGGAGGCCCTGATCGGATCCGAACCTCAATCGGAGAAAGGACCCGGAGGCACTATGGCAGTCGTATTCACCATTCTATTCGAGTTCCTCAAAGTACTGGCTGATGTGCTGCTGTAAATTAAACTAAATCTAGATTAGATTTTTATGGTTTCTTTTTTGCTTTTCTCCTAATTTCTTCATTCCTGAGTTGTATCTTTGTAGTTTTCTCATATTATTCTGTATAAGAAATTATCTCTCCTGGATGGATTTTTGAAGTTTGCTGAATTAGTGAATTTTGTACAAGGATTTTACAACTTTTCCTGACATTTACTAAATCGATCTTGAAATTACCGAACAGTCCATATATTAAAAATAGTTGAAATTGACCAACAAAATCTCTGTCCAGAAATCTGGCTCAGTTTTTTTAAGTAGGTCTTATGCACAGCTTCAAAAACACAGGCTTGGCTCAAATTTTTATTGAAGTTATTAACGAGTCTTTTAAGAAAGGCTTGGCTCAAATTTTTTTTGAAGCTATTAACGAGTCTTTTAAGAAAAAATGTCTTTTTTAGAGTTTGGAATGAAAGACAGAAAATGAAAATTTTCAAAGGTTTGAATAACGTGATGTTTTCAATTTAACGGCGCTAGAGTTAAACGTTTTTCGAACTATCTGTTGGTCTTTGTTGTCGACGAGCTAAAAAGGATGTTTTCTCCATCTCAAAACTCTGCGTCTCCTAAACTTCATTTGAGTCTATCACTGGACACGGCAGCTCTAAGTGCAGCCCAGATTTCAGGAGTGACAGAAGTGCTTTTGATCAACAAACTACTTAATCAGTGTCTGGGCTCTCTGTCTGTAACTTTCACCACTGGAACCGAACAGCAGAGTTATACTCAGAATAGCAGCACATGTTCACCACGATCGCCAAGAATTTTCCAAAAGGTATAAATACAAACATACTTGTTATCTTCTGAATGCACAGTAACAAATGCACAGTAACATTCTATCCTTGTTGTTCCGACCAATAACAGTAGAGAGGAACTTAGTATTGGGGTGTGTTTTTTTTTTTTTGCAAAATCAGGTAACCACAAATAAATTCAAAGCCCTTGCAGTGGTGAGTCAAACACTATTTACGCAAGCATAGCTTGTCTTATAGAAAGAACTCTCTTTTTTTCAACCTAAGTCGCAAATATTGTTGCGACAAAAAATGGTCATTTTGATCCGGCTTTTAAGTACAGCCAATGCTAAGGATAGTAACACAGACTATTATATTACAAATAGCACTTTAGCTTCAAAGTATCATGGTTCTGTAGCGTAGAGGTAGGGAAGGAGACCAGCAACAAAATAAGAGGGTTCGAACCTGGACAGGGTCGGATGTTTTAATGAGCTTTTTCGTATACTAATTAAAATGCATCCGCTCTATAAGTTGAGGCATTTTAGTTAGTAAATTTCTTTTTTTTTTTCAAATTGACTGGTAATGCGTCATAATTGACTTGCGTTTTTTAGCATTTATGTAGACTCACAATTGGGGTGCGCCACTCAAGAAATTTTGTAGACTCAAAGTTTTAATCATTCAGTTTTTCCCATCAGCGTTATCTGTATTATTTTTGCTTGTGTATGTGAAGTGCAACTTCGCCTGTGTTAAAATTTTCCGAACTGTAGAGAAAAATTGGTTTACTTTTTTTAAATTTTTGGTCTAAATTTGAACGAATAAAGCTTAAAATTTCGAAACGAGGCTTAGAACTTAGTTTTGAAGCTTCTCTTAGCGCCATCATGACAACAAAAAACTCTTAAAAACAAGAAAAAAAATTCGGCATAAAATTTGAAGAAAAAAAAAATAAAAATTCATTTTGTTCATTTGATAAAAGAATCGGTTGTCAAATTTGCGTATTCTGCTTTTTTTTATCGATTATATTTATGCTCTAGGCTTTCGTTCTGATTCGCTTTTAGCCGAACGTCAAAAATTTTTCAATTTAATTGAAAAAAAAATTTTAAATTACTTTGTTGTTACGAACGGCTATCTTTGTTTTTCTTGGTTTTTTATTCCACGAGTCAAAAAATAAAGGTTAAACTCCAGTAAAAAAAATATGATGTTATTAATGATTCATTAACACATGCCAAAAAGGCAAATTTTTTGTTGGTATATTCAAGCGATGATTCCCTCGATAGCCGTTTTTTGTCTGTGAACTAATATTTCTACGCAATTATCTACATCAGATTGTGTTTGTCAAGTTTGACTCCAGTTGAATATAATAGAAGATTTTACCTCTGAACGCTCCGCTCTATATTTTAATTTTACCTCTATATTTTATTTATTATAGTTTCTAGAATTCATTTAACAGAATTTTGCTCACACTTTTTTTCGGGAATGTAGAAATTTTTATCTAATTGTTCAATGAATACTGCATATTTCATCTGCGTTATGACATTAGGGAGTGATATTTAATCCTATCTCTTTAAAGGCCAAACGAAGACTTCCGAATGGTGACGTTGAGCAATCTCCGAGATCCTTCAAAACCAGAAGCAACGAAAACGGCGATTTCAATCCTCATTTAGAATCGAAACGAAATAGAGATGAAAACTCGAGGTGATGGCTCCCCGACAAATTTATCCAATCAAGATGTACAGAATCTAGCTGAAGGCAGATCAAATACAAATGGCAATCAAAGCTCTGAGTCAGAATCAACAGAAACAGTGGACCATTTTCATTCTTCATTGATTGCTCCGGATCTGAACGAAGCTCCGAAAAGTTTACCTTTGTAGACGATGCTACATGTAAAAGTAGTCGACCAAGTTTAGCTGAAAGAATAAAGTCCTTAAGTGAGGTCTCAATTAATGATTTTGAAAGAACAAGTTGCATTACCTGGAAGTTCAAAAGTAGCCACAAAAGTCAAAGAAGAATTTGACTTGAGGTGGCGGTGTAGGTAGATAAAATGGAATTCTATAATAACAGCCAATCATTGCAACAAGCGAACGAACTGGGTAGTATGCACAGTTTTCCAATACCACCAATGAATTTTCAAAACGCTCAAAGTTTCAGTCCAATTTTTTCCAAGGCCAACTAATATGCATTCATTTCCAGTTCCCAATCAAGTAATGACTCATCAGCCGATGATGAACAATCACATGGTTCCCGTTCAAAGGAGTAGGTTTGGGAATTTGCACCAGGGGCCACTCATATGCTGGGTCATATGCAACCAGGGTTTTTTTCCTCCAAAAGG